GACGATGAGGAGACAGAGAGGAGATGAAGACCAAGAGAGAGACAGAGAGGACAGAGAGAGACAAGACAGACATGAGAAGAGAGAGACCCCAGAGATGAGGAGAGAAGACGAGAGAGGATGAGAGAGACAGAGGAGACAGGAGAGAGACAGAGAGACAGGAGAGAGACCAGAGAGAGAGACAGAGAGGAGACAGAGAGACAGGAGAGACAAAAAAAAAAAGTCATATGAGTGAAGACATTCTCAGGAGTGTCAGTAAAATGGAGTAAAGCTCAAACATCAGTCCCTCTACCTCACGGTGTCAGACGCACTGTGGAGGGAAGCGTTAACAAATAAGAAAACTATCAGATCTTCTCCAGATAAAAATGACAAATATACTTTAAAAGAAGCTACAGAATTTAAAACAGAGACAAACTGACAGACAATGATGGGGGAGGGGTCTCTCTCTCTCTCTCTCTCTCTCTCTCTCTCTCTCTGTCTCTCTCTCTGAGCTGATGGCACATCTTCAACCGATTCATTATTCTGGATTTGAATTTAGTGTTCCCGACCTTTGTGACCTCTAGTAACCCTTGTCACAGGTTCAGTCTGAGGTGGCCAGTTTAACTAAACGTGATTATTCCTTTGTTCATCATTTCTAAAAGTCAAATTACAAGAAAAGGAGGAAAATATTTGAGCAAAATCTCAAGAAGAAAACGAAAAGAAACACTTCTTCTCTCTGATCTTGACTATTGGATGATGGTCTCTGGTCTCCAGAGGATGAACTGTAATAACTTCATCCCTCGTCCTGTTTAAGTCTGAGAACAAGTCTCACACTTGTCAGTTTAAAACAAAAGTCCTGGGGTCCTTCACAAAGACGGACTTTGAATGTGTCTTAGGTAAATTAAATTAAAAAAGGCCTACGGAGGGACTGAGCTCCGTTTGCCCTCAGCAGGAAATATTTCTCTTCAGGAAGAATTCAACAGTTACAAAGACGTTTTACAACAAAAAGAAAAATCTGTCTCTAAAGCTCTTTCCCTTCTCTTTGCTCTCGCCATAACAACATTAGCTAACCACAAATTATGAATCGTGTTTTCCTGTTTTTGGTTTTTGGTTGCTACTGCTCAGCGCAGGTGTCATTGATTGTTACCATGGTAACATTAAGACATGACATCCTCATCGTCTAAAACATAGGATTACATTACAAAACCATTGTAATCTGTGAAATTCTGTGGTAAAATAAATGTTTCCTGCCAGAAAGTTTGAAATTTCAAGTGACTAACGGGATTTTTAAATAACGGCCCGAGAGGGAGAAATATGTCAGTCGTGGTGCTTGTTTCCACATTTGAAAGATTATTGCAGGGATCTGCTGAACTGTGATTGGCAGGATGATTGAGATGAACTCAGGAGTGTCAGTCCTCTGTAGAGTCAGTTGTCATCCTCAGTTTCTTTTCTCAGCTCTCGGTGGAGAGGGAAAGATGAAGATGGCCTGTGGTCGGGGGGGGGGTCAGAGGTCGAGCACCCCTGTCTCCGTCACGTCAGTCTGTGTCCCATCATGCTCTGAGCTGGCTGTGAATCAACTGAGAGGAACGAGAGGATGTGAGCGGCGGCTGCAGCTTCAGGAGGGAAACATCAATGAGCTTGTTTGAACTTACTGGTGGCTGGTTGACGTAGTTCCCCTCACTATCATCATCGTCATCATCACTTTCGCTTAGAGCCGATGACTCTGACGTTGCATCTAGTGCAAAAGATGAAATGAAAACTTGTGTTAAATGGATGTGAGACCTTAAAGGTGCAGTGTGCAGGATTTGTCGGGAGCTGTTTGCAAACACACCGTTCCGGGTTGGCCCCTCCTCCCGGCTCGTGGGGCGAGAGCGACAGAGAGCAGCGGTGAGCGAGTGAGCTGGAGGGTGAATGAAGAGAGGGAGCGGCGTCAGAGCAAAGCAGTGAATCAGGAAAATAAAACGTTATGTTCTGGTTGTTGCGGCCGAAGTTTAGCCCCGCCCCCGGTCGAACAGACACACAGACCTCTTTATACATCCGTGATGTCCCGCCCCCACACTCTGCGCACAAGAATTTCTAAAATAGAGAGAACTTCCACTCTCAGAAGCTCAGGTCGTGTCTCTCGACAGTCCACAATGAATGAGGGTCTTACCGGGTAAAATGTAAAAAAGTCTGCCGATTTTCATTTTGTGTTGGATATAAAAACTAGACAGATGTAGATCCATTAGATTAAAGTTTTCCTTTTCATTTGTAGTGAAATACCTTTTCTGTACGCACAACAGATCGTCACCATGGACAACACAGCTGGAACCAGCTGGATCATCACACGGCTTCGGATGCAGCAGAGGTACGTTTTGTTTTGTTCTTTTTTAACCACGTTCATTCAACTTCATTTCAGTTCCCATCTCCCTTCAGGAAATGTGCCACTACTCTCTCAGAGACCTGAAGGTCAGATCGACCCACATCTCCTTCACAACCAAGACGAGGATGTTTTCACAGCGGTAAGATTTTCTGATTTATTTCTGATGTTACGTTGTAACCATGTTAACATGTTAAAAACTTTGTCCGTTGACTGACTGAACTGTAACTTACAGGTGCAAAACTAAAACAGTTGTGTAAGTAGATTTTTTTTAAAAAGTGGTATGATACATGTAGACAATCTTTTTTCTCGTGGGGTGGGGTCTATTTCTTCATCCCGGTGTTTAGATGAACCTTGAAGGATTCTGGAAATACCTTCAGAACAGCGGTCAACGTGTTGTTAAATGATTTTTTAAAGATTGTTGTTTTATTTATTTTGTGGGAGAATCAGATAAATTTGACACAAACACAATAATAACAAACAAACTGGGGCTGACACACACTGTTGTGATGATGTACTGCAGGGCTTCCTGTGTGAAACACCACAGAGGAAGAAGTGCAGTACATAATTGCATGATCTGAAACTTAAAAAAAAAAGAAGATTGGACCTCTAACTCACTTAGAGAATTCTTTGGATCCACATTCTGATAGTCTAAGTCGTCTTCATCCTCTTCTTGTTCCTCTTCTTCCTCTTTCTGTTTCTCCTCTTCAATGTGAATTCACATGAACAGTGTTGAAATGAGACGAGATAACATCAATTAGCCAGTTTTGTTCATAAGAATAAACAGAAGGGAAATGAATAGAACCAAAGAAGAACAAGACCAGGTCCTCCTCACCTTCAAGGTTCACATATTCATGACGAACATCTGTGGATGAAAACAAACAGCTGATCAGTTTCACACAGGACCACAAGCCGATCACGTTTTTCTTTTTTTTTTGTGCTAACTTAATTTTAATTTCTTCTTTCATTGTTTCCTTGCTGCTTTTTTTTTAGCTACATCTTTAGGGCAGATTGGAGGCTACAGTGACTCGCTATCAGAAAGTGACAAAACGGGCCAGGGCTAGCTGATTAGCATGCTAACTTCAGTAGAAGAAAGGAAGTGATAGAAATGGAAGCAAAGCAGAAGGGTTGTTTTCCACCTCTGGAGACAGCTCTAAGTGAGTAAAGGAATGAAGTCTGATGCTGAACTCAACGTTTATTCTAGACTGTGAAGTAAACAGCTGTTAATGCTAACGTTAGCTATGTAGCAATAGCAAAACTTACAAATAACTCCTTTTAAATAAAAAGGCAGTGTGTGATCTTCAGTATTTTTTTTGCTAGTGGACATTTATAAATTGGAGTTGCTGGATCAAATTTATAGCTTGACTCTATGTTGCTGTTTCCAAACTGTACCTGAACTGGGCGTTGAGGCTCGGCTGATGCTTGACGGAGCAAGAGCCTCACCGTCGGGTATCACGATGCTACAGAAAAAAGAGATGATCAGATCAGAATTTGATTTACTGAAAGATAAATGATTTAACCACCATACGTCTGTTTGATAGAGGAAACCTACATGTATCCAGGTTCTTCTACATCGCTGTCATGACAGTTAGGGTCAGGGTTTGCGTACTCAGGTGCTGCAGAAAACAAACGTCAACACAGTTCAGCCACCATCAAACAACACACAGTCTGAATTAAAGGAGGCCCAGTCTGTTTACAGCATTGTTTCTGTTTGATTTGTTCCTTCCACTAACTCGAGTCCAGACCAACAAGTTCCAAGTTGAAGCAATCAAGTTCCAAATCAAGACCAACCAGTCCCGTGTCAGGGACAGTAAGTCCAAAGATGATGCCAATAAGTCCCAACCCACCAAATCAAGACCACCAAGTTTAAAGATGATACCAACAAGTCCTAACTCTTGGCAATTAGGTCACAAGTCAAGGTCAAGGAGTATCAAGTGAAGGCTAATAGGTCCCACCCTTCCCAGTTAAGACTAGCAAGTCCAAAGCTGAGGCCAACAAGTCCTAATTCTTGGCAATTACAACTCTTGTCACAAGTTGCGCTACCTCGACCTGGGAACCACTGCATTACGGGATACCGACGGTCACCACACTGGTTTTCTCCACTATATTCATTGATATTTCTCAGAGTGATGTTTACGGTCTAAAAACTTGCAGCTAAAACTATTTACAGGTCCAGGTAAAACACTGATCCAGGACTACTGCACTTTCTAAATGTTCTCAGAGGAATACAAGACTCTACTTCTTTTATACACTGTCAATATGATCTGAGATCTGCTGCTGCAGTTAAAGAAACATGACCTTACCTTCTACTGGATTCTCATAACTTGGATTACTTTCTGTAGGAAGGAAAACGTCATAATATTACAATGTCTAAAGAGTCTAAGTACCACAGAAAAGTGAACATACTCCAAGATCTGAGATTTTAAAAAAGAAGAAAGTCTGACCGGTTTCTGTTTGGGTGAAGGATTGGTGTCTCCGCTGAGTTCCAGGATCAGTTGAAGATGAGCTAAAAGTGAATAGATAAAAACACAGTGAACAATTAAACCTGAATAAAAGCCCTGACTCAAGGCGACTCAGTCCTCTGTAGTCCCAGTTTTCATTTCTCAATCACCAAACCATGACGTCTGAGTAACTCTCGGTAGACCACTGCCTGTATTTATTTATATGGACAGTAGGGACATGTCCCTAACAATGTTTTGGATGGAAAGAATTGTCCTTACTGATATTTGAGTGAACTCGTTTGCACTGTGTTTGGAGTGAAGTCATATTAGATCATTCCAATTTGCCCTCCAAGAGGCTATGTCTCCAAGACAACCAATTTATGCATGCTAGCATTTGATTGACTGAAACGTCACCAGAAAAATGTCAACTGATGTTATATAAATATGTTAGCTAGTGTTAACTAGCAAGCTAACCATGGCTTCTGTCTTCTGTAGGCACACAGTCAGCCTTACTATACTATGAATTTTTATGACTTTTTATGCCTTACTATACTATGACTTTTTATACCTTATTATACTGACTTTTTTATGCCTTAGTATATTATTACTTTTTTATGACTTTTCATGCCTTACTATATTATGACTTTTTATGCCTTACTATATTATTAATATTTCATGACTTTTCATGCCTTAATATAACTGTTTATGTATTGCTATACTATGAATTTTTATGACGTTTTTGCATTACTGTAGTATAAGTTTTTTGTGACGTTTTATGCCTTACTATACTGACTTTTTATGTCTTGCTATACTATGACTTTTTATGATTTTTTTATGCCTTGTTATACTATGAATTTTTATGACTTTTTTGCCTTACTGTAGTATGACTTTTCTTATGACTTACTGTCACAGGCCCGCCGTGACTGCAGGAGTTTCCCAGTGTTTACTGTTTGTTTTCCCTGTCTGTCTTCCCCTGTCTCTCCTCCCCCATGTCTGTGTGTTCTTCTCAGCAGAGAAGTGATGCAGCAATGGCTACCTGTTTCACTTGTTTTTCATTACTCATCAAGCTCAGTATAAGAACCCCGGCTCTCCACTCACTCGTGGCTAGGTTGTTCCACTCTCTATGCGAGAATTCTGATTGATTGCTTCTCATTGTGTTGGATGATTCCTCACCAGTGTCTCTCTCTACCTCAGCTCATGCCTGCTCCAGTGCTGCTGCCTGCTCCTGCTAAAATTGACTGCTGTGCTGCCATTTCCAGCCAAGCAACTCACCTGCTGCTCCCACTCAGACAATTCACCTGTTCCATTCCAACCATCCACCTCCACACTCCTCCTGCAACAACCCGGATCACTCACCTCACTGTACTACGTCTTTTTATTCGTCATTATATTATACCTTTTAATGCCTTACTATACTATGACATTTTTATGACTTTTTATGCCTTACTATGGCATGACTTTTAATGTCTTGCTATACTGTGAATTTTTATGACTTTTTGACTTACTATAGCATTACTTTTTTATGACTTTTTATGCCTTACTATACTATGATATTTTATGACTTCTTTGCCTTTCTATGGTATGAATTTTTCATATTTCATGTTCATGCCTGCTCCATTGCTGCTGCTGCCCCTGCTGAAATTGACTACTGTGCTGCACAATGACTTTTTTATGACTTTTTTTTTGCCTGACTATACTATGACTTTTTATGCCTTAGTATACAATGACTTTTTTATGACTTTTCATGCCTTACTATACTATGACTTTTTTGACGTGTTATAGGATGACTTTTTATGCCTCACAAGATTATGACTTTTTTTATGACTTTTTATGCCTTACTATACTGTGACTTTTTTTTATGACTTTTAATGCCTTAGTATACAATGACGTTTTATGCCTTACTATGCTATGACTTTTTTATGACTTTTTATGCCTTAGTGTACGATGACTTTTTATGCCTGACTATTGCATGACTTTTTGCCTCACTAGACTATGACTTTTTTGCCTTACTATACTATGACTTTTTTATGACTTTTTATGCCTTACTATACAATGACTTTTTTATGACTTTTCATGCCCTGCTATACTATGACTTTTTATGACTTTTTATCCCTTAATATACCATGACTCTTTATGCTTCAATAAATTATGACTTTTTTATGACTTTTTAGGCCTTACTATATTATGACTTTTTATGCCTTAGTATACAATGACTTTTTTATGACTTTTCATGCCCTGCTATACTATGACTTTTTATGACTTTTCATGCCTTACTATACTAAGACTTTTTTGACTTGCTATAGGATGACTTTTTATGCCTCACTAAATTATGACTTTTTTGACTTTTTTTGCCTTACTATTGCATTATATTTTTTCCTTACTGTACTATAAATTTTTATGCCTTACTATGACTTTTTTATGACTTTTTATGCCTTACTATACTATGACTTTTTTATGACTTTTTATGCCTTAGTATACATTGACTTTTTTATGACTTTTCATGCCTTACTATACTATAATTTTTTTCGCCTCACTATACTGACTTTTTTATGACTTTTTATGCCTTACTATACTATGACTTTTTTATGACTTTTTATGCCTTACTATACTATGACTTTTTTATGACTTTTTATGCCTTACTATACTATGACTTTTTTATGACTTTTTATGCCTTACTATACTATGACTTTTTTATGACTTTTTATGCCTTACTATACTATGACTTTTTTATGACTTTTTATGCCTTACTATACTATGACTTTTTTATGACTTTTTATGCCTTACTATACTATGACTTTTTTATGACTTTTTATGCCTTACTATACTATGACTTTTTTATGACTTTTTATGCCTTACTATACTATGACTTTTTTATGACTTTTTATGCCTTACTATACTATGACTTTTTTATGACTTTTTATGCCTTACTATACTATGACTTTTTTATGACTTTTTATGCCTTACTATACTATGACTTTTTTATGACTTTTTATGCCTTACTATACTATGACTTTTTTATGACTTTTTATGCCTTACTATACTATGACTTTTTTATGACTTTTTATGCCTTACTATACTATGACTTTTTTATGACTTTTTATGCCTTACTATACTATGACTTTTTTATGACTTTTTATGCCTTACTATACTATGACTTTTTTATGACTTTTTATGCCTTACTATACTATGACTTTTTTATGACTTTTTATGCCTTACTATACTATGACTTTTTTATGACTTTTTATGCCTTACTATACTATGACTTTTTTATGACTTTTTATGCCTTACTATACTATGACTTTTTTATGACTTTTTATGCCTTACTATACTATGACTTTTTTATGACTTTTTATGCCTTACTATACTATGACTTTTTTATGACTTTTTATGCCTTACTATACTATGACTTTTTTATGACTTTTTATGCCTTACTATACTATGACTTTTTTATGACTTTTTATGCCTTACTATACTATGACTTTTTTATGACTTTTTATGCCTTACTATACTATGACTTTTTTATGACTTTTTATGCCTTACTATACTATGACTTTTTTATGACTTTTTATGCCTTACTATACTATGACTTTTTTATGACTTTTTATGCCTTACTATACTATGACTTTTTTATGACTTTTTATGCCTTACTATACTATGACTTTTTTATGACTTTTTATGCCTTACTATACAATGACATTTTATGACTTTTTTGCTTTGTTATAGTATGAATTTTTCATAGTTAATGTTCATGCCTGCTCCAGTGCTGCTGTTGCTTCTGCTGAAATTGACTACTGTGCTGCCATTCCAAGCCAAGCCACTCACCTGCTGCTCCAACTCAGACAAGTTGCCTGCTCCATTCCAACCATCCACCTCTCTTTCTCTCACTCATTGAACAGATGCCAATAAAGAACTTTTATTACTAAACCAATGGTTGTTTCTGTGTATGAATCTATCGTGGGGTCAAAACAGCATTTTAAACAGAATGTGACACATTACTATACTATGACTTTTTAATGACTTTTACTGCCTTACTATATTATGACTTTTTATACCTTACTATACTGTGTCTTTTTATGACTTTTCATGCCTTACTATACTATGACGTTTTTTTGACTTTTTATGCCTGACTATTGCATGACTTTTTTTGCCTCACTATACTATGACTTTTCATGCCTTACTATACTATGACGTTTTTTTGACTTTTTATGCCTGACTATTGCATGACTTTTTTTGCCTCACTATACTATGACTTTTCATGCCTTACTATACTATGACGTTTTTTTGACTTTTTATGCCTGACTATTGCATGACTTTTTTTGCCTCACTATACTATGACTTTTCATGCCTTACTATACTATGACGTTTTTTTGACTTTTTATGCCTGACTATTGCATGACTTTTTTTGCCTCACTATACTATGACTTTTTTATGACTTTTTATAAAACTTTAGTATGACTTTTTTATGCCTTACTATACTATGACTTATCATGCCTTACTATACTGTGACTTTTTTATGCCTTACTATCGCATGACTTTTTTTGCCTCACGATACTATGACTTTTTAAGCCTTAGTATACGATGACTTTTTGTGACTTTTCATGCCAAGCAACTCACCTGCTGCTCCAACTCAGATGACTTTTTAAGCCTTAGTATACGATGACTTTTTGTGACTTTTCATGCCAAGCAACTCACCTGCTGCTCCAACTCAGATGACTTTTTAAGCCTTAGTATACGATGACTTTTTGTGACTTTTCATGCCAAGCAACTCACCTGCTGCTCCAACTCAGATGACTTTTTAAGCCTTAGTATACGATGACTTTTTGTGACTTTTCATGCCAAGCAACTCACCTGCTGCTCCAACTCAGATGACTTTTTAAGCCTTAGTATACGATGACTTTTTGTGACTTTTCATGCCAAGCAACTCACCTGCTGCTCCAACTCAGATGACTTTTTAAGCCTTAGTATACGATGACTTTTTGTGACTTTTCATGCCAAGCAACTCACCTGCTGCTCCAACTCAGATGACTTTTTAAGCCTTAGTATACGATGACTTTTTGTGACTTTT